CTTAACTACTGATTGGCTTTATATAGAGATAGAGAGAGAGAGATCGGATACGCGACTCTTTAGAAGCGTATCCTGTCGCATGATCTTAAATCTAGATTTAAGATTGCAACTGACGTCCTTCTGAGACGTCGCGATGCCTAGCGTCATCCCTTCTCATGTGAATCCATCAATGGATATCACATTCACGAGGGTGGATCACATTTGTGTATCGCACCCAAGTGACAGGTCAAAAGTAATCATGGATACTTTTAGACCTTACATTAAGTATATTACTTAATGTTTACGTGTAACTAGATACCCTGTTACATTTGAAGCCGCGACGGGCATCTTCATATCAGGCATTCAATAGGCAGGAGACAATTTGGAAGCAAATGAACACTGCAACCAGTTGCTTGAGTTCTGATGCGCTGGTCATCACCTTTAACTGGTGCTGCAACTGACTGGCGGTAAGGCTGACGATGCAGGGCAGCAAGACCCAAGACAACCCCTTAAAGCGTTAAAACGAACGTACGCTCGGACAGCAGCCACTGCACAGAAGTATCCTTCGAGTTTTTTCTGCAGCAAAAGCCACCAAATTACTTGAACTATTGAATCGATCTTTGAGGAGATCTTCGACCAACCTTGATGCAGTTTGACAGAGAGTTTATTTGAGGTTAATGCTTAGCCCCCTCACTCCGCCTTTGTCGACTTCACTTGTTTGCTTGTTGTCACGTCCGCTGACGACCTCAAGTAGCGGATGTGAATAACATTCGGCGTATCTGATGCTTGTGGAGTGAGAGTCGCGCGTCAGCGCAAGCCATTAAGAGTGCCACACGATGCATGCTGTCAAACTTTATTGTGATGACACAGCTACTGCATATTGTCAGGACGAGCGGTTAAATACGGGAACTACGCGGACTGGCACAAACATATTGAGCATCAAAGCATGCATTATCCGTCTTGATTTGAAAAAAGTATCTATGGCACGGTATGAAGTTCATGTCCTGCCTGTTATTGGGGAGCCATATTCACATTGTCACCAGGTAAGGTTGTGGTCGCACGAAAATTCGAGTATTGCGTATTTCAGGACCAATACGGCCTTACAGGCCTTTTCGGTCGAAGGTATCACAAGAATGCAGCAGAACATTTTAGACCACTTCACGCCGTCCTGGATGCACTTACAAGAAAACGTTAATGCAAAGCAATAGGCTTGAGGTGTCTAGGATAAAAATGCTTGGATAATCAGTAAGATATATATACTCCGCACTTCTCAACCAAAGAGCTTCCGACTGAGCAGGTACCCCGACAGCAGCAAGGACAGACCCGCACCGCATACGATCATCCGGGCTATAATCCGGCAAGCCACGATATCACCAGGTTGGAGGTCTCCATGCTCAATATTGCGTCGAGCCAGCACCGCCGCCATCTCGCGAACTTGACGATGTGCAGAATCTCGTTCCTTCATTGATGCTTCAGCGTGGGCGTGGCGACGGCGAAGTGCCTCCCGCAGCGGCTCCTCGTGCCATTCAGGAAGCAATTCTGATGTCGGGTCCGACACTCCTTCGTTACCGTGGGTGACATCGTCAGTTTTTTCTTCATCCTCGTCATTGCCAAACGCGTGCGTGATACCCGCGTCCGCCGACTCAGGCACTACTAAGCTCGAAAAGATCTCTGCCTCTTCACGCCGACGCTGCAATTCCGCCAACTCTTTCCTTTCTTCGTCAGCTGTGATAACATCAAGCACACGCTGGATCTCGCTGAGCAATGACGGGTCGACTCCCAACTTCAGCAACACCTCCTTTTCAATGCGTGCCGAGCGGTAGCTTTTACTTTTCTCTGCGAGCGGCGATATCAGCGCCTGATGTCGCGATCCTGGTAGCATGGGAGATGACGACGACATAGGTCCGTGTGCCGGTGCGTGAGGCGCAAACATCCCCATCGTAGGAGTTTCAGGTGCTGACGATAGCATGGATTCCGTGTCGAAACTCCGCCGCGTCTTAGCCATCGAAAAGGCCGGTGAGTACGAATCGTTATGATCCCTTTCATGGTCCGCCTCCGTCTCACGCGGTAGCTCCTGATCAACCTCCCGTTCTCGCCCGTCTTGTTCTTCCTCCTTCTTTTCCTTCACTTCCTCCTCCTCTTTAGCACTACTCGAATGTTGCCGTTTCGCCTCACTTTCGAGCGTGTGCAAGATGTTCGTGGCTAGTTCCGCCAAGAAAATGGAGGCTTCAGGTGACGCTGTCACCTCAGTAACACTAGTAAGACACTGGCCAGTACTCGAAATAATGCGTCGTCCATCGTAGCTTGCAAAGAAGTCCACCACGGACTGCAGCGTCTGAAACAGCTGCTGCGTAGCTGCCTTGGTCTCGGGTGTGTTGAGTGCCTGCGCCACCTTAGCCATTGTAGCCACGGTATTTAACACCACCTCTCGACCGCTGCGGCTACTGGCAGCTCGCAGAAAGTCCTTCTGCAGTTGCTTGGAGCTGACTCCGAGCTGCTTGCCCCTCTCAGCACTAAAAACATCCAAGGCATTGGCCACTGCAGTGGACAGTAGCCGCATCAAATCACGTGCGTGCTGCGGCGTCAGTGTCTTCAGTCGTTCCCACAGCAAGAAGCTCAGCACGGCCGGGTTGGCCACAGATCCGGCCAATCGCGTCGCAACAGGATTCACTATCGACGCATCCATCCACCTGAAAACTCCAGCAATAGAGAATGTTTAGCTGCATACAGAGAGAAGAATTAAAGTCATTGAGATGAATAGTGATAATGTACCGAATCGCGTCCAGGATCATCTGAGCCTTTTTATGCAATGCAATTAGTGACGAGCTCAAAAGTGGCGTCGTTTCGGCATTCGGGCTGCCCCGTCTGTAACGTGCAGAACAAAACCTGTTCTTTCGCATCGACATTCGCGCTTTGAGTTTTTCTCAGTGAGAAAAAACGGCCATTTCCATTGTAAATACTGTAGCCAAGTCAATATCTTCATACAAATGATATCGCACGAGGTGAATGGCGCGACGAGTGGGACGTTGAATGAGCGCTTCATCAAGTGCGCAGGCTGCCATGTGAATGTACCCAAGGACGATATGTTGGCACTGGGTAAGTGTACAGTGTGCAATTATTCGTACAGTGCCGTGGTGACGGAGGACGGCAGAGGAATCGAGGTAGCGACTGTGGCTTTTGACGCCAATGGAGCAGCGGAAGAGAAGAAACTGCAGCGGAAGCGATGGGCGGTGCTCACCTCCAAGCGTGGACGCGTCTTTTATCACAATACAGAGACGGGAGAAGATCGATGGGATAAACCCGTAGACCTGGAGGCTGATGCAGCCGAAGATGCTTTCGGTGTGTACAATAAAAAGCTATACGTTGGGTGTGTGTATTGATGAGTAACTAGTAGATCTCTTATTGTTATGCTGTAGTGCCTTTTAAGAACGACGCAGTGAAGAAGGCGGTATTGCGTGAACAAATGAAGTTGGAGGCTACGAAGATGGGCGTGCCGGTGGAAGTGGTGGCTGCTACGCAACATCGATTACAGCATGAGGACGAGGACGAGGCCGATGACCCCTTTGCCAACATGATGGTACGTGAGGATAAAACCGGGAAGAAGAGCACTTCTATTCGAGCTGATAGTCCCAAGCAGAAAGTTATAGTACCATTACTTGTTGAAGAGGACAAAGAGGAACTGGTCATGCAAGAGAAAGGACAAGTCGGTAACTCATGCGCTGTAATGTAATTTTGTCTTGTACTTCAATCAGATGGTGGACAAATTAAGTTGTCCACACCAGTGTCCAATACTATAATCAATTGATTTTACCCAATCAGAATTACTCATAAGAATCACTCGATTACGGTGGCGTTACTCCATCTTCCTCTTCAGTGTCTACGTCGTCTTGTCGCTTAGCTCCATCTCTCTCTATCTACGACGTGTACTACGTCACTATTATAATTTCTTGTTCATTGGCAATTAATTGTCATCATTTTGACACTTTTGCCAGGCTCATCTGACGTCTACAGCCCAATAAATCAACATTTCAATGAGCAGCAATGGCTCGTTGCATCCGCCTAAGATAATTACGGCATTATCACGACCTCCAGCCACTATTGGAGCTCATGGTGGATCTACATTGACTGCTTTGTCTTCATCTCCAGCACCTTCATCTGCCGGTGCGTCCTTCTCGCCATACGCTAAAAGTCCTGCGCGTAACGCCAGACGCGTCGCTATGGAAGGGAAGAGCTTGTTCACGTGCCACCAATGTGGTGCATTACTCAAATTCCAACATAGTCCAGTATCTATTGAGGAGAAGATCATGAAGCTTCGACCGGTGGCCTACGAGCACCCGTCGGAGGTGTCCGAGCAACGAGACAGCAAGGTAGAAGACGAGGAAGACCAGATGCCAAGACTTACAGAAAGAACGGACGCTGGAGAGGCTATAGATGCAGATGAAGAGGAAGAAGTATCACATATAGCAGCCAGGTCCTCACTAAGTCAACAGCAACAGCAGCAAAAGACGCCGGCTATTGTCCCTGAGATTGTGTGGGAACGACAACGTCTGGACTACAGCAGTGATGTTGGTGTTTGGGTGCCTGCTGAATTCGACCTCGCTAATAGGATTGCAGCTTACACGAGCTGCAATCGTGGAGATATTGGACAAAACATTGCAGATGTGGTGCCGGCGCGACTACTGAACAAGCCGCACTTGTGGATATCGGACTGGGAGGTGGATTACTCCAGCCCGCACTGCGATGAAGAAGGGTGGGTATATGCATCCTCGCACGTAGATTTTGGCAAGCTGGAGGAGCCTCATGTGCATCGAGAGGAGGCAGTAAAAAATGACGAGCTCAGTAGAACTGCCAAAAAGACTGATGCGATGTCGCAAGAGCGTGTTGTTCGTCGAAGATGTCTGATACGAAAGCGCCGCATTGATGGCAGTGATCTCAGCTGGTTCCAGGAACTACTGGACTGCAGGTACGGCGAATACAATTATGTTTCTCCCTAAGAATACATCATAATGTGGCATGGTTGTTGTCTACAGCACGGTTCTACTGAAAAAGAGGTTGCCTACTTGTCATGACTGTGAAACGAAGGTGCTGTCCCGATTTACTCAGTAAGTGAGCACCTGCTTTTTGTGCCACCTTTGAGAAGAGCTTATCATTTCGCATTTTCTGCTGATGACTACTGCAGAGTATTGAACGAACTGGAGGAGGATCGAGCTCAATACGAGGATTTTATGGCTCACTTTGTAGACGAAGAGCGGGCATCAGCACGAACATTGAGCGACGACGGAGATTACAATGCCGATGAGTGGCACCTTGACCCAGAGCTTTGCGCTTTGGAGGAGGAAGAGCGACAACTAAAGGCTGAGTTAGAGGCCATCGAGGATGAAACTGTACAAGTGACAGCTAAGAGGCGTGAGCTTTGGTAAACTGGATTAGATCTCGAGCGTTTGGTTCATGGCACGTTTGCTGAAGGAGCGTTCTTGCAGCATTTATTGGGTCTGAGTCGCGACGAGCGCCAATCGGTGGGTGTATTTGCAGTGCATGCATCAGATATGCTGCGCCGTCTCCAGCGCTACAACGTGTGCAACGATGTCTTCCACATCTGGCACGACGGTCTATTCGGTACCATTAATGGACTGAGACTTGGCAGGTTACCGTCTAAACCGGTGGAGTGGGTCGAAATTAACGCGGCAATGGGCCAGGCAGTGTTGTTGCTGGCAACTATCGCTGACCGTGCCGGGTTTGAATTTTCACGTAATCGTCTCGTGCCTCGGGGGAGCTTCTCCCGTGTAGTCAATATGTACGGAAAAGAGTACAGTCTGTACAGCGACGGTGGCATGTTCCGACGTCGAGGCTTCAATCAAGCTATGATTCTATTTCTCGAGTGCGTGGAGGACGCAGGTCGTCGTGCCATGAAAGAAGAGCCATTGCTCAAGTTCCCGTACAAGGTGGAGCGCGGCATAATCGGTGGTCTGCCTATTTCTCTTGGTAACGATGAACAGTGGACTCGAGCGCTCAAGTACATGCTCACGCATCTTAAATGGCTCTTGGCTTGGATTTCGAAGCGCTATTGAAGAGATGAATAAAGAATGAGCAAGTCGGCAGAATATCTGCCAGGCAACATTTCTAGCGCCATGACAGCGGACCAGCAAGTATAACGTGTGTATTTTGCGTCTTCTGCTTGGATTTTGTAAGTTCTTCACATGTCAGTAACGAAGGCAACAGCCACGATGTACTAAACATGGGACGTTATAAGAAGACGTTATAGTTCTGTGCCTGTGGACACTTTGGCTAAGCTACAGCAGTTGCTGGATGGCCTTGTGAATCGCGTTAGCAGCGTGTAGTACCTCTTCCTGCGTGGTAGAGCGACCCACAGACAAGCGCAGTGTGCCTTTGGCAAACTCAGGAGCCACGTGCATGGCAGCTAGCACGTGCGAAATGGTAGTAATGTGTTTCCCGTCGCGGTCTAGGTTCTTTTCCTGTTCGGTAGTCCTGTCTTGCTTGTGGCTATGACACGCTGATCCTGCACTTGCATAGACGCCGTCGGCCTCTATCACTGTTCATTACACAGGCAACACCAAGATCAGCATCCTATAACCACCAGAGTCAAGTATACAAGACTCACAGTCGAGGAGACGCGATGCGTCAATGTTTTCAAAGCTAATGCTGAGCGTGTTAGGCAGAGAAAGTTCTGGGTGGCCGTTTACCTGGTAGCTAACATTCGTAAGACTGCAGTGCTTCTGGATCTGCTCGAGGAGGAACGCCCTGCTTTCTTGCATGATGACAGCGTACTCGTGCAAGTTCTTCTCTACAAGCGCACAAGCCTGGCCCAGTGCCGCCACTAGTCCCACATTCTCTGTACCACCACGACGTCCGTTCTCCTGCGACGCTCCGTGAATAATCGTGTCCAGTACCATGCTTTTACGGACGTAGAGAGCGCCGACACCCTTTGGCGCATAGAATTTGTGGCCCGCCATTGTCACCAAATCCACGTCAAGCTCCACGACATTCACACGTACTTTACCAATCGCTTGACTGGCGTCTGTATGCACGACAATAGGTAGCCGATTCTCCTCGTCCTCGACGAATCGTCGCACTGCTCGAGAAATTGCTGCAACTGGCTGCAACGATCCAACTTCATTGTTAGCAAGCATAATGGACACCACACACGTCTGTACGGTAAGTGCATCCAGTACATCTTGTACCCGGACACAGCCAAAGTTATTTACAGGCAGGTATGTGACTTGGAATCCCTGTGTCTCCAACCATTTACACGTCTCCAGCACCGCCACATGCTCGACGCTAGACGTGACAATGTGGTTACGTCCACTCGTACGTTTTGCTGCAAGTGCTGACCCTTTGATTGCATAATTAATTGACTCGGTACCACCTGAAAGAAAGACAATTTCATTCGAGTCAGAGGCGCCCAACATTGATGCCACTTGGGTACGTGCCATCTCCACCGCTTTCTTAGCGGTTTGGCCAAGTGCGTAAGTTGAAGACGCATTGCCAAATTGTGGACCAAAATATGGCAGTAATGATTGCATTACGGCGGGCTCCACAGGCGTCGTAGCATTATAATCGAGATACACGCGTGTCATTTAGTCTTCCGACGTTTAAAGTTTAATGTTGAGCTGCTGGTGATCAGTTACCGATACGACTTCCATATTTACACACAGAACAAGTAAGGAAAGTATATGAAAAGTGTAATTTCTTCTTACCAACAAGAAAAAAACCACCTACCACCACTATCTGTCCCCCTACGTCATGGTCGCGATAATAGCAGGACCTCCGATAGTAACTATGGAGTGTAGCATGATTCCCTCCACTAGCTCTCACTTGGAATTCTTTGCCATCTTTTCTCGAAGGTCCTTCATAAACGAATCAAAATCTTTATCTCCCTTAATAGGTTTCTCCTTCTCCAGCGATTTCATGAAATAGCCGTCCTTGTGCACCATTTTCATCACAGCTACGGCTGCGTCTTGGCCAACACGCTTCTTAAGTCTTTTGTAGACTTCACGAAAGTCAATAATACCACTTTCGCCCTGTGCTCTCATAAACACGTAGTTGACCCAAAGTCTTCCAAGCGGATGCGTAGTCAGATCGGTTGGGTTTGATGTTCCCTTCCCTTGAAGATTGAAAAGTTTGAAGGATGATTTTAAATCTTTAGAATTCTCCTTCAAAAACTGGAGTTGAAAGCGTAGCAGGTCTTGAGCAAATTCAAAGTTTGCATCGGCTTCGCCGATTTTAGCAAGAGTCCTCATCAGATCAAGATTGATAATTCTGCCTTTTGATCCTTTAAGAAATTCGAAAGCCTTTTCCTCCGACTTCTTTTCGGTATTGAATGCAGCCCACATGCTGAATTCTGGGCGGCTGGGTAATTCATCAAACTTCTTAAATGTGTTGAGTCCCAAAATGTCAAAAACTCTTCCCGTGGTGACTCCACGTTTGTCCCACTGATCGATCTGATACTTGTAAACATTCTCGCTCATGTGCCCGAATTTGGTTGAGTGAGCTAGGGCCTTGGCCAGCTCACCTTCACCTCCCAATGCTTTAAGCATAGCTTCGTACAGCTCCTCAAACACAACTTCTTTTCCCTTAAGGGGTTTCTCCTTCTCCAGCGATTTCAAGAAATAGCCGTCCTTGTATGTCATCTCCATCACATCCACGGCTGCGTCATGGCCAATCTTATCGAAGAATTTATCGTAGACTTCACCGAATCTTATACTGCCATCTTCACGCTGAGCTCTCATGTACACAAAGTCGACCCAAAGTCTTCCAAGCAGATCCGTAGTCAGATCGGTTGGGTTTGATGTTCCCTTCCCTTGAAGATTGAAAAGTTTGAAGGATGACTCCATAACTTTGGTATTCTTCTTCAAAAACTGGAGTTGAAAGCGTAGCAGGTCTTGAGCAAATTCAAAGTTTGCATCGGCTTCGCCGATTTTAGCAAGAGTCCTCATCAGATCAAGATTGATAATTCTGCCTTTTGATCCTTTAAGAAATTCGAAAGCCTTTTCCTCCGACTTCTTTTCGGTATTGAATGCAGCCCACATGCTGAATTCTGGGCGGCTGGGTAATTCATCAAACTTCTTAAATGTGTTGAGTCCCAAAATGTCAAAAACTCTTCCCGTGGTGACTCCACGTTTGTCCCACTGATCGATCTGATACTTGTAAACATTCTCGCTCATGTGCCCGAATTTGGTTGAGTGAGCTAGGGCCTTGGCCAGCTCACCTTCACCTCCCAATGCTTTAAGTATAGCTTCGTACAGCTCCTCAAACACAACTTCTTTTCCCTTAAGGGGTTTCTCCTTCTCCAGCGATTTCAAGAAATAGCCGTCCTTGTATGTCATCTCCATCACATCCACGGCTGCGTCATGGCCAATCTTATCGAAGAATTTATCGTAGACTTCACCGAATCTTATACTGCCATCTTCACGCTGAGCTCTCATGTACACAAAGTCGACCCAAAGTCTTCCAAGCAGATCCGTAGTCAGATCGGTTGGGTTTGATGTTCCCTTCTCTTGAAGATTGAAAAGCTCGAAGGATGACTCCAGACTTGTTTCCTCCTTCTCCAAAAACTGAAGTTGAAAGCGTAGCAGGTCTTGAGCGAATTTAAAGTTGGCATCGGCCTCGCCGAAGTCAGCTAGGCCCCTCATCAAATCAGTATGCATAGTCGTGCTTTCAGGTTCTTTAAGGAACTCGAAAGCCTTTTCCTCCGACTTCTTTTTGGTATTGAATGCAGCCCAAGTGCTAAATTCTGGGCGGCTAGGTAATTTATCGAGTTCTGTTATCTTGTTGAGTCCCAAAATTTTGAAAACCAAATCCGGCGAGTAATCATCGTTGTGAACCCACTGTTCGATCTGATAGTTGTAAAGACTCTCAATCGTGCTCTCGTATTTGGTTAAACTTTTTGCTTCAACTAGGACCTTGTACACTTTATCTTCACCTGCGAAAGCATGAACCATAGTTTCGAACATCACCTTGGTCACATCTTCCTTTGGCGTGGTTTTCTCGACGATATATTTCCACACGGGAAACTTTGGGTTTTCAAATGGGTTTTTCCCCGATTTGCCGAGCTGCAGAGATGTGAAGGCCTCCTTAGGTTCTTTTTGTTTGTTAACCCACAGCCACCATTTCTCTCGAATCCTTGTCATCATCTTGGAATAGATTGCTGATACACTTTGACGCAGTCTCGCAGGGAAGGCTACCGCCTGTTTTCCAAGAGAGTTTCCAAATTCCTTAAGACCCGAGAGATCAGAAACTAGTCTTCTCAACTCACCAGTGCTGGTTGTCGTCACATCCGCGGCCGACCTCAAGTACCTCTTCTGTTTCGAGACATGAGGTGTCAGATCCATATCCAATGTATCCGATGCCTGGAAGGTGCGTAGGGCATCCTCTGGTGACAGATCTGCCGTTGCCATTCCCATGGTCGAACGAACGACGAGCATGATTACCATTAGCGCCTTGGTAAGCGAAGTTTTCTTCGCCTTGACAGGCATCTTCGAAACTTAAAGTGACCTGGAGGTGCGGGAGCAAAATGAAGAGTGGGGGAGCTTGTAAGATTTCATCCGGGGACGAGTTGGATGCCAATCATATTGGCTGGTTACTAGTGGCTGAAATCAATAACACTTCTTCATGTTCATTCTTAATGGCACCATCTCCTAAAAGATGCAGACAATCCCAAATCATATCTTCAGACAGGCACAAGATCGGACATGAAGATCTGCTTGGTACTGACAAATAAGCAGCGATCCCTTCGTGTCTCACCGATGCAGATGTCTATGCATTTTTTTGCTTGAGCTAGCACCGCCCCCATGTCCCAAGCTTGAAGATCCGTCGCATCACGTACTGCTGTAGCTGGGAGGTGAAGAAAAAGTGCCCATTATAGAAGCTTTACCTTGTTATTCGGAACCACAGTCTCCAAGATGTTTCCACGGGACCAGCTTAAATGCCGAGATGGGAGTGACAACGACAGACAACCTAGTGATGTCGTGTCTTGCATGCTTATCGCCGTTATGGTGTGTTCTGTACTTGCTGCTGTCGTATTACCTGGAACCTCTTTTGTTGAGAAGCGTGGAGCCATTCGTGTAACGTATTATTATCCTAGCAATTCTCATTTACTCTACTCTTTTTCTAGCCTTGCTTTGCATCACCAGTCTAGTCCAACTGCATCCAAGACGACGTGAAATAATTCTAATCGCGCTTGCCGCGCAACAAGCGGTAGGCCGTGATGCATCTTTGACCAAGAGTGCTACGTCCCTACTTGAAGGCGCCTTGCGAAACTCCAATGCTTGACCCTTCAGCTTCATGCACACGATATACTTGTCTGTGATTTTACGCAGCAAAATTAAATTGTCAATACGCAGACCTATTCACGACGTCGGAAGCTGATTGATCCTTGCGCACGCTTGACACTTATCCATTTATCAACTTCCTGGACCGTGCAGCCTCGGCCATATCGACAGTGATTACGATGGCGGCTAGAAATTTTTAGATAGACTTATATAGAAACAGTTGCTTCGATAAAGTTGTGTCAGCCTCTTTAAAGGTCCCATAAGAATTATTTATGCAGTAGATGTGCCTATATCTACAACCTCAGCCTCATATCCAGCAGTGCTATCGGCAATTCAAGTATAACGGCGAGAGTTTTCTCTACCTTCATTTGCGCTTAGCAGTTAAAGATAGATCCTGGTTCACCACCCCTACTTAAAAAATTCCGCAATCGCGTCAGACATTTTGCTAGTACCTTTAGCTCCAAGATTAATTCCTGCGCATCGACCACAACAGCAGATACTTCTACCACAAAACTCTGTCTAGCGACACCATTAACGTCAGTAGCGGCTAAGGTTTCCCGCGAGCAACCGTCTCAGTTGCAGCTTTCGCGCCAACATCGAAATCAGCTAATGTCACCTCGAATGCAAAAGACTCATCTACTGACACTGAAACCTTTATTATTTTCTCGGCTTCTGCTGCGTCTTGGTCCGTCTCGGCTTCAGACGACTCGTCCTCATTATGCAGCTCGAGTGAACTCGCCGTTCCATATTATCTGAAAAGTCTTGTAATTAGTTCTATACCACAATCTCAAAGACGTTTCCACAGGACCAGCTCGAATGCCGAGATGGGAGTGGCAACGATAGACGAGGAGATTGCAGGAAAAGTGCGTGAGGTGCAGCTTCTGAGAATGCGCTTCACAGTGTGCGCAAGCGGCCGATAAGCGTCATTACAGTGCTAAGGACTTGGTGTCGACCCAAACTTGTCACTGGACTTCGAGCTTTTCTTCTCCTCATACTTACTCACCGTTAATAAAGTAAGATTGACTTTGGCTTGTCATCACCCAAAGAGACCTTTCGCAAAGGTGTCTACTTGACTATAGCGGACTGATCATGACAATAGTCAAAAGAGTCTTGACTGCAGCAACAGCAAAAGATTCCTTAGCTATAATTGACAACTGCTTGTCTTCTCAACCTTCTCAGTCGCAAGCTTATTCTCAACAGCATCGGTTTTAATGTATTAACTTTCCTTAGCCATGTGTTTCATATTTGACCTCCGTATTTACATACGGTTTTAGGTTAAGAAATACCGGTATGCATGACCTAGCCATTGCTCAGCACTCAATTCGCCAAAAACACGTTTTTTTTAGCGAATCATCATCAACTAAGGTGATGACCAGCAGCTCAACTCGGAAGATCCAAATGACACGCGTGTATCTCGATTATAATGCTACGACGCCTGTGGAGCCCGCCGTAATGCAATCATTACTGCCATATTTTGGTCCACAATTTGGCAATGCGTCTTCAACTTACGCACTTGGCCAAACCGCTAAGAAAGCGGTGGAGATGGCACGTACCCAAGTGGCATCAATGTTGGGCGCCTCTGACTCGAATGAAATTGTCTTTCTTTCAGGTGGTACCGAGTCAATTAATTATGCAATCAAAGGGTCAGCACTTGCAGCAAAACGTACGAGTGGACGTAACCACATTGTCACGTCTAGCGTCGAGCATGTGGCGGTGCTGGAGACGTGTAAATGGTTGGAGACACAGGGATTCCAAGTCACATACCTGCCTGTAAATAACTTTGGCTGTGTCCGGGTACAAGATGTGCTGGATGCACTTACCGTACAGACGTGTTTGGTGTCCATTATGCTTGCTAACAATGAAGTTGGATCGTTGCAGCCAGTTGCAGCAATTTCTCGAGCAGTGCGACGATTCGTCGAGGACGAGGAGAATCGGCTACCTATTGTCGTGCATACAGACGCCAGTCAAGCGATTGGTAAAGTACGTGTGAATGTCGTGGAGCTTGACGTGGATTTGGTGACAATGGCGGGCCACAAATTCTATGCGCCAAAGGGTGTCGGCGCTCTCTACGTCCGTAAAAGCATGGTACTGGACACGATTATTCACGGAGCGTCGCAGGAGAACGGACGTCGTGGTGGTACAGAGAATGTGGGACTAGTGGCGGCACTGGGCCAGGCTTGTGCGCTTGTAGAGAAAAACTTGCACGAGTACGCTGTCATCATGCAAGAAAGCAGGGCGTTCCTCCTCGAGCAGATCCAGAAGCACTGCAGTCTTACGAATGTTAGCTACCAGGTAAACGGCCACCCAGAACTTTCTCTGCCTAACACGCTCAGCATTAGCTTTGAAAACATTGACGCATCGCGTCTCCTCGACTGTGAGTCTTGTATACTTGACTCTGGTGGTTATAGGATGCTGATCTTGGTGTTGCCTGTGTAATGAACAGTGATAGAGGCCGACGGCGTCTATGCAAGTGCAGGATCAGCGTGTCATAGCCACAAGCAAGACAGGACTACCGAACAGGAAAAGAACCTAGACCGCGACGGGAAACACATTACTACCATTTCGCACGTGCTAGCTGCCATGCACGTGGCTCCTGAGTTTGCCAAAGGCACACTGCGCTTGTCTGTGGGTCGCTCTACCACGCAGGAAGAGGTACTACACGCTGCTAACGCGATTCACAAGGCCATCCAGCAACTGCTGTAGCTTAGCCAAAGTGTCCACAGGCACAGAACTATAACGTCTTCTTATAACGTCCCATGTTTAGTACATCGTGGCTGTTGCCTTCGTTACTGACATGTGAAGAACTTACAAAATCCAAGCAGAAGACGCAAAATACACACGTTATACTTGCTGGTCCGCTGTCATGGCGCTAGAAATGTTGCCTGGCAGATATTCTGCCGACTTGCTCATTCTTTATTCATCTCTTCAATAGCGCTTCGAAATCCAAGCCAAGAGCCATTTAAGATGCGTGAGCATGTACTTGAGCGCTCGAGTCCACTGCTCATCGTTACCAAGAGAAATGGGCAGACCACCGATTTTGCCGCGCTCCACCTTGTACGGGAACTTGAGCAATGGCTCTTCTTTCATGGCACGACGACCTGCGTCCTCCACGCACTCGAGAAATAGAATCATAGCTTGATTGAAGCCTCGACGTCGGAACATGCCACCGTCGCTGTACAGACTGTACTCTTTTCCGTACATATTGACTACACGGGAGAAGTTCCCCCGAGGCACGAGACGATTACGTGAAAATTCAAACCCGGCACGGTCAGCGATAGTTGCCAGCAACAACACTGCCTGGCCCATTGCCGCGTTAATTTCGACCCACTCCACCGGTTTAGACGGTAACCTGCCAAGTCTCAGTCCATTAATGGTACCGAACAGACCGTCGTGCCAGATGTGGAAGACATCGTTGCACACGTTGTAGCGCTGGAGACGGCGCAGCATATCTGATGCATGCACTGCAAATACACCCACCGATTGGCGCTCGTCGCGACTCAGACCCAATAAATGCTGCAAGAACGCTCCTTCAGCAAACGTGCCATGAACCAAACGCTCGAGATCTAATCCAGTTTACCAAAGCTCACGCCTCTTAGCTGTCACTTGTACAGTTTCATCCTCGATGGCCTCTAACTCAGCCTTTAGTTGTCGCTCTTCCTCCTCCAAAGCGCAAAGCTCTGGGTCAAGGTGCCACTCATCGGCATTGTAATCTCCGTCGTCGCTCAATGTTCGTGCTGATGCCCGCTCTTCGTCTACAAAGTGAGCCATAAAATCCTCGTATTGAGCTCAATCCTCCTCCAGTTCGTTCAATACTCTGCAGTAGTCATCAGCAGAAAATGCGAAATGATAAGCTCTTCTCAAAGGTGGCACAAAAAGCAGGTGCTCACTTACTGAGTAAATCGGGACAGCACCTTCGTTTCACAGTCATGACAAGTAGGCAACCTCTTTTTCAGTAGAACCGTGCTGTAGACAACAACCATGCCACATTATGATGTATTCTTAGGGAGAAACATAATTGTATTCGCCGTACCTGCAGTCCAGTAGTTCCTGGAACCAGCTGAGATCACTGCCATCAATGCGGCGCTTTCGTATCAGACATCTTCGACGAACAACACGCTCTTGCGACATCGCATCAGTCTTTTTGGCAGTTCTACTGAGCTCGCCATTTTTTACTGCCTCCTCTCGATGCACATGAGGCTCCTCCAGCTTGCCAAAATCTACGTGCGAGGATGCATATACCCACCCTTCTTCATCGCAGTGCGGGCTGGAGTAATCCACCTCCCAGTCCGATATCCACAAGTGCGGCTTGTTCAGTAGTCGCGCCGGCACCACATCTGCAATGTTTTGTCCAATATCTCCACGATTGCAGCTCGTGTAAGCTGCAATCCTATTAGCGAGGTCGAATTCAGCAGGCACCCAAACACCAACATCACTGCTGTAGTCCAGACGTTGTCGTTCCCACACAATCTCAGGGACAATAGCCGGCGTCTTTTGCTGCTGTTGCTGTTGACTTAGTGAGGACCTGGCTGCTATATGTGATACTTCTTCCTCTTCATCTGCATCTATAGCCTCTCCAGCGTCCGTTCTTTCTGTAAGTCTTGGCATCTGGTCTTCCTCGTCTTCTACCTTGCTGTCTCGTTGCTCGGACACCTCCGACGGGTGCTCGTAGGCCACCGGTCGAAGCTTCATGATCTTCTCCTCAATAGACACTGGAATATGTTGGAATTTGAGTAATGCACCACATTGGTGGCACGTGAACAAGCTCTTCCCTTCCATAGCGACGCGTCTGGCGTTACGCGCAGGACTTTTAGCGTATGGCGAGAAGGACGCACCGACAGATGAAGGTGCTGGAGATGAAGACAAAGCAGTCAATGTAGATCCATCATGAGCTCCAATAGTGGCTGGAGGTCGTGATAATGCCGTAATTATCTTAGGCGGATGCAACGAGTCATTGCTGCTCATTGGAATGTTGATTTATTGGGCTGTAGACGTCAGATGAGCCTGGCAAAAGTGTCAAAATGATGACAATTAATTGCCAATGAACAAGAGATTATAATAGTGACGTAGTACACGTCGTAGATAGAGAGAGATGGAGCTAAGCGACAAGACGACGTAGACACTGAAGAGGAAGATGGAGTAACGCCACCGTAATCGAGTGATTCTTATGAGTAATTCTGATTGGGTAAAATCAATTGATTATAGTATTGGACACTGGTGTGGACAACTTAATTTGTCCACCATCTGATTGAAGTACAAGACAAAATTACATTACAGCGCATGAGTTACCGACTTGTCCTTTCTCTTGCATGACCAGTTCGTCTTTGTCCTCTTCAACAAGTAATGGTACTATAACTTTCTGCTTGGGACTATCAGCTCGAATAGGAGTGCTCTTCTTCCCGGTTTTATCCTCATGTACCATCATGTTGGCAAAGGGGTCATCGGCCTCGTCCTCATGCTGTAATCGATGTTGCGTAGCAGCCACCACTTCCACCGGCACGCCCATCTTCGTAGCCTCCAACTTCATTTGTTCACGCAATACTGCCTTCTTCACTGCGTCGTTCTTAAACGGAGCTACAGCATAACAATAAGAGATCTACTAGTTACTCATCAATACACACACCCAACGTATAGCTTTTTATTGTACACACCGAAAGCATCTTCGGCTGCATCAGCCTCCAAGTCTACGGGTTTATCCCATCGATCTTCTCCCGTCTCTGTATTGTGATAAAAGACGCGTCCACGCTTGGAGGTGAGCACCGCCCATCGCTTCCGCTGCAGTTTCTTCTCTTCCGCTGCTCCATTGGCGTCAAAAGCCACAGTCGCTACCTCGATTCCTCTGCCGTCCTCCGTCACCACGGCACTGTACGAATAATTGCACACTGTACACTTACCCAGTGCCAACATATCGTCCTTGGGTACATTCACATGGCAGCCTGCGCACTTGATGAAGCGCTCATTCAACGTCCCACTCGTCGCGCCATTCACCTCGTGCGATATCATTTGTATGAAGATATTGACTTGGCTACAGTATTTACAATGGAAATGGCCGTTTTTTCTCACTGAGAAAAACTCAAAGCGCGAATGTCGATGCGAAAGAACAGGTTTTGTTCTGCACGTTACAGACGGGGCAGCCCGAATGCCGAAACGACGCCACTTTTGAGCTCGTCACTAATTGCATTGCATAAAAAGGCTCAGATGATCCTGGACGCGATTCGGTACATTATCACTATTCATCTCAATGACTTTAATTCTTCTCTCTGTATGCAGCTAAACATTCTCTATTGCTGGAGTTTTCAGGTGGATGGATGCGTCGATAGTGAATCCTGTTGCGACGCGATTGGCCGGATCTGTGGCCAACCCGGCCGTGCTGAGCTTCTTGCTGTGGGAACGACTGAAGACACTGACGCCGCAGCACGCACGTGATTTGATGCGGCTACTGTCCACTGCAGTGGCCAATGCCTTGGATGTTCTTCGTGCTGAGAGGGGCAAGCAGCTCGGAGTCAGCTCCAAGCAACTGCAGAAGGACTTTCTGCGAGCTGCCAGTAGCCGCAGCGGTCGAGAGGTGGTGTTAAATAGCGTGGCTACAATGGCTAAGGTGGCGCAGGCACTCAACACACCCGAGACCAAGGCAGCTACGCAGCAGCTGTTTCAGACGCTGCAGTCCGTGGTGGACTTCTTTGCAAGCTACGATGGACGACGCATTATTTCGAGTACTGGCCAGTGTCTTACTAGTGTTACTGAGGTGACAGCGTCACCTGAAGCCTCCATTTTCTTGGCGGAACTAGCCACGAACATCTTGCACACGCTCGAAAGTGAGGCGAAACGGCAACATTCGAGTAGTGCTAAAGAGGAGGAGGAAGTGAAGGAAAAGAAGGAGGAAGAACAAGACGGGCGAGAACGGGAGGTTGATCAGGAGCTACCGCGTGAGACGGAGGCGGACCATGAAAGGGATCATAACGATTCGTACTCACCGGCCTTTTCGATGGCTGAGACGCGGCGGAGTTTCGACACGGAATCCATGCTATCGTCAGCACCTGAAACTCCTACGATGGGGATGTTTGCGCCTCACGCACCGGCACACGGACCTATGTCGTCGTCATCTCCCATGCTACCAGGATCGCGACATCAGGCGCTGATATCGCCGCTCGCAGAGAAAAGTAAAAGCTACCGCTCGGCACGCATTGAAAAGGAGGTGTTGCTGAAGTTGGGAGTCGACCCGTCATTGCTCAGCGAGATCCAGCGTGTGCTTGATGTTATCACAGCTGACGAAGAAAAGAAAGAATTGGCGGAATTGCAGCGTCGGCGTGAAGAGGCAGAGATCTTTTCGAGCTTAGTAGTGCCTGAGTCGGCGGACGGGTATCACGCACGCGTTTGGCAATGACGAGGATGAAGAAAAAACTGACGATGTCACCCACGGTAACGAAGGAGTGTCGGACCCGACATCAGAACTGCTTCCTGAATGGCACGAGGAGCCGCTGCGGGAGGCACTTCGCCGTCGCCACGCCCACGCTGAAGCGTCAACGGAGGAACGAGATTCTGCACATCGCCAAGCTTGCGAGATGGCGGCGGTGCTGGCTCGACGCAATATTGAGCATGGAGACCTCCAACCTGGTGATATTGTGGCTTGCCGGATTATAGCCCGGATGATCGTATACGGTGCGGGTCTGTCCTTGCTGCTGTCGGGGTACCTGCTCAGTCGGAAGCTCTTTGGTTGAGAAGTGCGGAGTATTTATATATTACTGATTATCCAAGCATTTTTATCCTAGACACCTCAAGCCTATTGCTTTGCATAAACGTTTTCTTGTAAGTGCATCCAGGACAGCGTGAAGTGGTCTAGAATATTCTGCTGCATTCTTGTGATACCTTCGACCGAAAAGGCCTGTAAGGCCGTATTGGTCCTGAAATACGCAATACTCGAATTTTCGTGCGACCACACTTATTATTGGCTTATTATTGGGTCTGGCCTCCCTATAATTAACCAATAATAAACTGGCGCGCAGTATCCGCTAATCAAATTCTGTCCTATGCCTACTTATGTAATTATATATTATCCCTATAACTACTTATGTAATAGGTTTCTTCATTACATCACCCCCCTCTTTAAGTTGCGCATACCTCAACGTAAGCGCAAACGCAGAAAGTTTCTTCTCGACCAATGGCGTAACTTCGGACCTGCTCGGTTATACATAACTGACCCTAGATGTAACAGGGCGAGCCCGTTACATAATATTGACACTTATATGAAGTGTCAATA